AAAAGTTGTTAGGGATTGCTCCCCAAACACTTTTATAATCTTTTGGAATTTTCAAAGGATAAATTAAGATATTATACTTTATTCTAGAATATCATCCAATAAAATCTTTAAGGACCTACAAAGTTATCGCATATGGTTTGGTAGATACACCTACAACTTCTCTTCTTACAGTTTATTTAAGTTTTATATATATATATATATATATATATATATATATATATATTGGTAAAAGGAGCTACATGTGGCTCTCTACATGTTGATTAAACAAATGAAAATTACAAAAGAGAGGCTACCAAGAAGAACCCCATTGCTAACAAAATAAAAGTACCTATGGGTTCCCCTTCCAAAAGAAACAAAGCAATTAAATGCAGAAAAATGGGACTATCCTAAGATATGAGGCATTAAAATTATTCCCACAAAGTAGGAAAGAGAGGGCGGGGGTGGGTGCGGTAGACACAGAAATCAATTGGGAATCAGCTCCACAAGTTGCAAGATAATGGGTTGGCTGGTTCCCTTCTCTATAGTTAAAAGCAAAGAAGACAATCATATCCTTAATCAAATGCTTCATTTGAGTGATCTTTTGTTGAATATGCCAAGGGGGGATGGTTTTCATTTAACACATAATCCACCAACTGTGAAGAATCAACCTCAGCCTGGATAAAGTTCCAGTTGTTGGATTTAGCCATTCTCAGTGCCATGAATAGAGTCATGGTTTCTGCTTCCATGGCATCCACAACCATAATGAGAGACTGGAAATAAAGCAAACATCTGCCATTAGAGTTCCTGAAGACCCAACCTATGTGTGCCTTCTCTGGAGTGAAACTTCCATCTGGGTTGACTTTAATGAAGGGGAACAAAGGTTTGTTCCAAACCACTTTCAACAGCTGAAAACTTTTGTGTTGGTCATTTCTGCAGATGTTCAGAATATTTGGGAAATTCTTCAATTTAATTAGTTTACTTATGTAAGCAATACAATTAGATGCTACCTTGTCCACCCCTGCCAGATTATCCTCATGCTTAGCTTGGTTTCTAGAATTCCAAACAAGCCAAGCAGTTATGAAAGGAATACACTCCAGTTTCTGCTCCCTTCAGCCCTTCTAGCAGTCATTAAGCCAGTGCCATTCTAGCTGTAAATTGTTAAGATGAAGATGTGTTTGCAGAGCCCTTCAAGTCTGTTGGGAGTAATTACACATGAAAAATAAACGCGGGAAAGATTCAATGTCATTTATGCACAAATAGCACATGGAAGGACCTCTAAGCCCTTTTAATTTGAGAATGTCATCTGTGGGAAGTAAGTTTTTGAAAACTCTCCAAATGAAGAAGGACATTGAAGGAGTTAGGAAATGATTCCACAGACAATCCCCCCAATCAATCCTTTCCCAGCTATAAATAATTTCATAAATGATTTTGGATAGGCTCTGGTTGGATCCAGATCTCACTGCCAGATTGTCCCTTCTGGATTTATCAAATTGGATCCTTGTAACCTGATGAACTGAGCTTTCAGTAAGCAAGGTCTATAGCATTCTTTCAGACCAATCCTTATCCTCCCAACGCTCATTCACCCTTTTAACATTGTTCTGAATTTCAGGCAAGGGTTCAATAACATCCTCTGGACACCCAATAACATCCTCCGGACACCACCTATCCGACCAAAACTTTAAATCCCACTTGCCCAGATCCCATAAAAATAGATTTTCAGCACTATCTCTGACTTTTATCATTCTCTTCCATGATCTGGAGTCTCCCCCTTTGCTGCTGATGGAGTTGGGATGGGCAAATCTACAATATTTTGCATTCATGAACTTAGCCCAAAGACTATCCTGTTTTCTGAACTTTTACCATAGTCTGCATAAACTAATATGTTAGAGTTGCTCCAGGCCCCTGATCACCATGCCACATGCATAGTAAGGTTTTGTCACTTTTTGCCAGCTAGTCCAAAACATTTGCTTTCTTTGCCCAGCCAAAAGGAACCTATTGAAAGTTCTTTCAAGTTAAATCCTTGTGCTCTTCTTCATTGTTGCAACTTGGAGAGTGTACATTGGAAAGGTTGTAAGAATAATTTTCAGTAGAGTAATCCTCCCACCACTGGATAGAAAAGAGTTTGCCCAGCTCTGGAGTTGTGAGTTTGTCTTGTCAATCACCTCATATATTGGCCTTCCTTTTGTTAATTGGACCTTCAGATATTTGAAAGGTATAGACATTGTTGGAAGCCAGTAAAATCCAAGATCTTAATTGGACCTTCAGATATTTGAAAGGTATAGACATCTATTGGAAGCAGTAAAGTCCAAGATCTACTGCTTAATCTGAGGAGTAGTCTATCTGCTAAAAAACACATGGCTTTTATCAAGATTGATTTTTAGGTCTGAGCAGTTCTGGAAATCTTTCAGGCACTTATGAAGCTTCTTGACAACAATTTTGTTAGCTCTAGAGAAGATAAGTATGTCATCAACATACACTAGGTGATTGATATCAAGTGTAGATTTATGATGATATTGATTGTAGCTCTTCATTTGATTGGGTTTATTAATCAGTTTTGATAAATAATCCAATGCAAGAATGAAAATAGTTGGAGAAAGTGGGTCTCCTTATTTTAATCCCTCAGCAGCAGAAAAGAGCCCATGAGCACTTCCATTAATCAACACTGAATTTACATTCCCCTCCATCCATCTTCTAATAATCATACAAGAGGCATTCGAGAAGCCCCTAGCTTTCATAATATCCAACATAAAATCCCAGTTAATGGTATCATAAACTTTTTCAATGTCTAATTTGTAAATAAGATTGCCACCCCAACAAGGCATATCTAGGTCCATCAACAATTCCTGTGCTAGTAAAACATTGTCCCCAATACTTCTGCCTTTAACAAAAGCAGTTTGCTTAGGAATAATAATGTTTTGTAAGATAGGATGAAGCCTCATCACAATGATCTTGCTAATAATTTTGCTAATCACATTTGTAAGACTAAAGGTTCTAAAGTTCTTCCAACTATCTCTTATGCTTGATTTTGGAATATGTACTATATTGGCAACACAAAAATATAGTGGTAAAGCACCCCTAAAAGAAATGTTGAATGACAATGATAACTTCCTCCTTGATAATATCCCAAGCCTTTTTATAGAAATCTGATGCAAAGCCAACAGGCTCAACAGCTTTGAAGCTCTCAATAGAAAATAATACATACTTGATCTCCTCTTCTATAGGAATTTCATCAAGGTTAACAGCAGTAGTATACTCCTTATTAGATTCAAACAGCCTGTAATCAATGGAGTCCCTATTTAGGTTGTTGCACTACATCAAATTATGAAAATACTCCACAACACTCACGGCTATGTCCTCAATCTTCTTAATCCAGTTTCCTTGATTATCTTTAATCTTATGAATGCTATTACATCTCCTTTGGTATTTATTACAAGCATGATAAAATTTGGTGCTCCTATCCCCTTCTTTAAACTTTGTTTGACTGGATTTTTGTCTGTATCCCCTTCTTTAAACTTTGTTTGACTGGATTTTTATCTGAGAATTGTCTGAAAGCTCCTGCCTAGCCACTACAACTAGCAGCTTTTCATTAGCTTCAAGAAAGGCTTCTTTAGTTACCTGACCTAGTATGTGTCCCCTTTCCAAATCCTTAAGCTCCTTCTCAGATTGCTCCACAGCAGTCAAAATGTTACCAAAGGTATCTTAGTTCCACATGCTTAAAGATTTCCCAACTTTTTTCTGTAATCTCCACAACTTAATCAACGGGTTGGGGTGCTCACAATCATTCCAATTATCTTTAACAATATTAAGTAAATCAGAACGAGTGGCCCAAAAGTTAAGGTATCTTAAGGTAGATTTGGTAGGTTGACTAGAGGCTGAAATATTGATTAGCAGTGGTCTATGATCAGACCGAGCCATGCTTAGATGAGTGACATATATATGCAGAAAATTTTGTAGCCAGCTGTTGTTAACCAAGATTCTATCTAATCTTTCCCATAACTTTCCTCTTCTTCAGGTGAAATTGTGACCACTACATCCAACGTCAAAAAGACCAGAAGCCTGAATGTTGTCATTAAATTTGGTCCCAATGACATTATTAACTGGTCTTCCACTCTTTTTTTCAGTAGTGGAGGCCAGACAATTAAAATCCCCTCCAACTAACCAGGATTTGTCACTATATGTGCTGATGTTATTATTCCAGAGCTCAATTCTAGCTATTTACGTGCAACCTGCATAAACAAAAGTTGCATACCCCTCCATTTCTTCCATACAAAAAGAGATATGAATGAAGACCTGCATAAACAAAAGTTGCATACCCCTCCATTTCCTCCATACAGAAAGAGATGTGAATGAATTGATTATGGTTCAACATGATATTGCACTCCAGTTTAGTTATGTAGAAAGCCATATCTTGTTACTTGTGTTACTGATAATGGTAAAACTAGGAAAAAATTTTTGGTAATTTTGAGGATTAACATAAACCAAAGGTTCTAAAATGGCAAAGCACCAAAGCTTATGTTTCTTAATTAAATACTTCAGCCTTTTAAAAGATATGGGGTGGGCAAGACCCCTTATGTTCCAACAAAGGAAATTAAACATGTTGAAGGGATTTCGATCTCCCCCTAGTTAATCTAGGATGTGACTACTTTCTGTTTGAGTAATTATTTCCCATCTCCTGACATTGAGAATTTATCCATCGGGTTTTCTTCTTCTTCTTCCCCCTCTTTACCTGCCACTCATTCTCCAAAGTATGCTTCAGCTCGAAGACCAAAGAATCACTTGGTGTTTCAACATTTTCTATGTCATTCTGCTATTCTCTTTGTGTACATGCTTCAGTCTCCTGAGCATTGTTGAAGATCAAGCCCTCCTCCATGATACTGACACCAGCTGCAATCTGTGAGGTGTCAGTACTCTTCTCTCCATCATTTACAACAATTATTTCTCTAAGAGCATCCATTCCCAATAAAAAGGGAGGATCCTCCTCAATTGAATTTTGTGTTTCCATATTCATAGTGGGAATTTCTTCAATGGCAATTCTTGAGACAAGCTCCCTCCCGTGTAGGAACTTCTGCATTGGCAGTTCTTGTCACTTGTTCACTGTCAACATGTGTCTCTTTAGCTTGAGCATTAGAGGTCTTTCTTGAAGGGGGGTGAAGCCTATAGCATCTATCCAAAATATGGCCAAACATTTTACAATGTTGGCAATAGTAAGGCTTTTGTTCAGCAAGAGTTTCCTTCCAAAAACCCTCATTTTCAGATCCAATCCATATCCTTTTTACCTCAGGAAGAGTAACATCTCTTTCCACCTGTATTCTAGCAATAGCTAGTCTAGCTTTGTTGAAAGTAGGAGTGTCCACCTTAAGAGGTGTCCCCAATGCCCTTCCAATGTTGAAAAGGGCAATAAACTTGAAGAAGGGGAGGGGAAGGTCTGGAAGTTTATACCAAATAGGCACCACTGGAGGCTCTTTACTTGGATCAAAGTCTGAAGTCCATTTTTGTATTTTCATTGTAACTTCTGCAGTCACTAAAGATTGCTTTGCAAAAATTCTGGCATAATCCTCTTCTACAGACAACTGAATTAAAAGGTGTATCCAATCTAGGAGTCTTATTCTCCAAGCCCCAATGAAGTTAAGAGATTCAAAGAATTTCCTAACAAGTTCTATCTTAGGATGCCAAAATTGAAACTTACCAATTAAAGTAAACTTAACTTCATCCTTCAAAGTGAGCAAATCTTGATTTGAGAAATAAACAGCTGTCTCCCCATCTTTGAAACCAAGTGGATGGATGTAAGGACAATTATTTTTTCCAACAGCATTATCATGGAATTCTTGTGGAAAAATCAATTTCTCAGGGTTCTGAAGAAGATCATAAGCTCTTCCCACAACACCAGCATAAGTAGCTCTGGTCCATTGAGCATCACTGTTAACATCAATTGGTGTGGCCATGGAAGAAGTCCCATGGCCAGTACCAATCAATAAACACCAGCAGAACCAAGCAAACAAAATAGAACACCAAACCACAGTATTCACAAAACCCAAGTGACCAGTGAGACAAGTTCAAAAAAATATCCCCACAAAAGGCAGTACAAACAATAAGTCAAATCGAGGGAGATAAGAGAGTCCCTAGCAAAAGGCCATGCCAGTAGAACCAGCAAGAAAGAAGGTTTCACAGGAAGACCAAGAAAGAAACTTGGCTCTAATCAAACAGTAACCATACATCAAAATCCACACCCAGGAGAGAAAAGATAGTAGAGGACACCACCAAGAGTAAAACCTAGCAGCAGAAGGCCCCCACAGACCACCACCTCAGCACTAACCACCAGCCAACCCTAGCAAGTCCTCATTTTGCCAGAAACCCTAGCAGAGCTTTATCCTTAGCCTCCACCATCCTGCATCCATTAATTTAATCTTCAGCCTCC